ATCGTTTTCTGATCTGACGTCGTTTTTAATAAATTACTCGAGTTAATCGCGAAGTTTTACGATTTACTCGACTTTTTATTAAAAACACGTTTTTTACGACTTACTCGGCGTTTTTTATTAAAAAGCGCGTTTTTATGATTTTAACGAGAAATCTCGAATAAATCGTATCGTTTAGGCAATGTTCGGTGTTTCGTTTAACTGTTGCCGTTTTATACGATTTCCTCGAGTCTTTCCGAGAAAGCGAAGTTTTACGGTTTTTATCGTAAAACTCGAACGGTAAGTCGAATCGAGATGGAACGGGAGATGTTTTAGCCGTAGTTTAGAATGCGATCGTGTCGAAAGACGTAAGTTTTGAATCAAGGATGTGGGAGATCGAGGCTCAGAATGGTCGGCTTGACGTACGGCGAGCTAGTTCAGCTTGGCTAGGTCGCCATATGGCGAACTAGGCGAAAAGAACCAGTGGGGCAAAAGTCAGCACCTCTTAGTACGCCCATTGGCGATCTAGCTGGGACGGGACTAGTTCGCCAATGGGCGAACTAGTGGAGTGTCCTTAGTTCGCCCATCGGCGAACTAAGCCGGGACCGGCTTAGTTCGCCCATCGGCGAACTAAGCCGGGCCGGCTTAGTTCGCCGATGGGCGAACTAGTTGTGACTAGTTCGCGTTTACGGCTTTTTTGGTTTTTTGCGATTTCGTAAAACGATTCTCGAGTTTTATAAAAGATTCTTCGAGTTTTATAAAACGATTCTTCGAGTTTTATAAAACGATTCTCGAGTTTTATAAAACGATTCTCGAGTTTTATAAAACGATTCTCGAGTTTTATAAAACGATTCTTCGAGTTTTGTAAAACGATTCTTCGATTTTTATAAAACGGTTCTCGAGTTTTATAAAACGATTCTCAAGTTTTATAAAACGATTCTTCGAGTTTTATAAAACGATTCTTCGAGTTTTATAAAACGATTCTTCGAGTTTTATAAAACGATTCTTCGAGTTTGATAAAACGATTCTCGAGTTTTATAAAACGATTCTCGAGTTTTATAAAACGATTCTTCGAGTTTTATAAAACGATTCTTCGAGTTTTATAAAACGATTCTCGAGTTTTATAAAACGATTCTCGAGTTTTATAAAACAATTCTTCGAGTTTTATAAAACGATTCTTCGAGTTTTATAAAACGATTCTTCGAGTTTTATAAAACGATTCTCGAGTTTTATAAAACTTCTCGAGTTTTATAAAACGATTCTTCGAGTTTTATAAAACGATTCTCGAGTTTTATAAAACGATTCTCGAGTTTTATAAAACGATTCTCGAGTTTTATAAAACGATTCTTCGAGTTTTATAAAACGATTTTTCGAGTTTTATAAAATGATTCCCGAGTTTTATAAAAAGATTCTCGAGTTTTATAAAACGATTCTTGAGTTTTATAAAACGATTCTCGAGTTTTATAGAATGATTCTCGAGTTTTATAAAACGATTCTCGAGTTTTATAAAACGATTCTCGAGTTTTATAAAACAATTCTCGAGTTTTATAAAATGATTCTCGAGTTTTATAAAACGATTCTCGAGTTTTATAAAACGATTCTTTGAGTTTTATAAAACGATTCTTCGAGTTCTATAAAACGATTCTCGAGTTTTATAAAACGATTCTCGAGTTTTATAAAACGATTCCTTTTATATTTCTGCGGGGAGTTTTGGCCGTTGATTCCGTCGTACCGATTTTGACCCCAACAGTTAGCCCCCCAGCTCGTAAGAATCTTGAGCCTTTAGCGTAAAGTTCTTGCGAGTGGTTAACCAGTTTTAGTTAAGTTAGGCGGAATTAATGGTCGGAAAGGTCCGTCGAAAGTGATCTTTCCGCTCTCTAGGGAGCGGAAAGTGTTTAAGATTAGGGCTGCGCCTTGTGAAGGCTGCCTACGTACCCTTTTGAGGGGATCAAGCCTTTCGTAGTTCGTTTCAGAGTTAAGGTTCGTATGACCTGTTTCCTAGCAAGACCTTTACGGTCTAGTTATATGTTGTGTAGGAATTATCGAGCATATTGATGTCGATAGCATCTGGACCTTTGCCGGCTTTGAGA